AGCTGGAACTTAGATAGATAGATACTTTATTTATACCGAGGGAAATTCAAGTATCCAGTAGCATACAAAATACAAAACATACATTAAACGTACATTAAACGTATATTTAACATACATTAAACTATAATTAAAAACCCTGACCATAAGAATAGAATCTGAATCTGATTTAGGCTCAAATTGGTTATGGTCTTACCACGGATGTATGAGCCGATCCTGTTGTAATTTTTGCCGTAACCAGCAGTCAAAATCAGATCCCAGGCCACCTGTGCTTAGCCAATCAGATTGTTTTCTGATGAATAGTGGGCGGTTCCTTTGAATATGAATCAAAAGGTGACACAGATGAGTGTAAAAACATTTTTACTCTCTCTGCCACTTTTTCTTTGGTATTATGATAGCCGGAACAGTCAGAGGACACTGGTAGAGAGATTTCAGAGACTAAATCAAACTGAGAGTGTAAAAGTGGGGGACAAAAGTAGGATTTTGAAAACTGGGGCGGGCATGTCCTCATTATTCCCAGTGGAATTACGCCTTTGCTCATTATCTGCATGCTGTAAACTTTCACATGAATGCAGCTGGGTAAGACAAGGACAGGGAAGTTCTGTAGCACTTTTCAACAAAAAAGCAATCCAAATCCAAATAAGACATAAATAGCATAATAGAATTTGTATGGTTATCAGTTGTTGGTAAACACAGAACAAGTTAGTTTGTGTGGTTCTGTTTTTGTCACTAGTTGCTTTTTGCCTCTGGCCATACTGTGTGTGTTTTTGTGTGTGTGTGTGTGTGTGTGTGTGTATATGAGTAATGTCATTACGTCTGCTCTGATTCCTCTGATTTGATCAACGGTAGCTCCTGGGTTTCATATTCGAGGCGCTAATGCCATTGACCATCAAAGGCCGCTAAAGAAAACACTGGACGTTCCTTGTTTGTCACACATCCTGTCTGAAGTTAATTCACTTTGTCCGCTGCACTCACATCTCACAGAGAGAAGAGAGAGAGAGAGGTACGCCGTGCCTGGAATCAGTCATTGTGCAACAGAGGAAACTTTGGTAAAATTCATGTAAAATGTTTTAGATGTCAGCGGTTTAGTTGTTCTCAGACCCAGTTTGCTAATTGGCCTTGTTCCTGGATCAGATCCACTGTGTGTTGAAGTTATGGATTTTATTGGTTAAAACTTTTATCATCTCAGTGGAAATGTAATATGTTGTTGTCTTATTGCCTTATTTATTTACTGATACCTCAGAGTGTTTGTGCAGTGTTCATTAATCTGTAATCATGTAGGTGATAACACACTCAGATGTGCCCTCATATACACCTCTGATTGTCGCACATACTGTATATCATGGCCGCTTACACAAATGTAGACTGTTTGTTAAGTTGTTGAGTACTTTTAGACAATTGTAATAGACACCTCTGCAAATCAAATGCTTATTTTTCCCTGGCTATGGTTTTATTTTGTAACTCTGCAGCAGTGGTTCAGTTGGTTTTATGGATTTATTATTTCATCAGTTGCTCTGCTAAAGTCGCAGCTCCTATAAACCAAAGAAGGTTGGCTGACTTTTTGGCTGCAATTCAGCTGACCGAATCTTAATTTCACTGACAAAATAAGGCAATAAAAACCTTAAAACTACTATGAATAATGTTTGCTTAGTTGAAAAGTATGATATGAGTAAATCAGATTGAGTTGCAGTTTGTTTAAAAGATTGGAAAGGAAAGACAGAGTCACAGACGAACACATGCACAGGAGCTGTACTGTATGTGCCGTTGCTCATAACCTTTATCTTTATTTTTCACATCATCCAAGCAGTCTCCTTATTACCCAGCATGGTGCATTTCCTGTTTTAGCATTGACAGTGCATTAAGAAGAGCTGAAGGGTCCGTTTCATGTCATTACTTGAATGGATGTGTCTCTATTAGTAGGAACAGTGTGCCAGGAACAGGTGATACTGACAGAACAAACAATATCACAATATTCTATGACCACAGTTATTAATATCACACTATTCTGATGATAACTAGCAGTGCTCTCAGAATATATTTACATGCAAGAAATTTTAGAATATTTATTGTTATTACCTCGGGTATGCTGACTATACAGGTGCAGATACATTTATTGCTTGATATTGATGGATAGTCAGTGTGATGAATTGTGTTGTGTTGACAGTGTTGGTGTTATTCATTTACACCCTTTTCTGTAAATAGCCATTATTATTTACTTTTAACTTATTGGTTGTTTTTATACATTTTATATTTTCTTTTCTTTCTGCATTTCTTTTCTTTTTTGTAAAGTGTATTGAGACAGTGAGTTTCATTGTTCAAAACATGGAAAAAATAAGTTCCAACTTTCTTGAAGTTGAAGTTGATCTTTGAAGCAGAGAAACATACTGTTTTGTATCCTTTTTAAGAACAAAATAAACAAGTAAACAACGTTGGGCAGACAACATGTTCTGAAGGCGCTCCGCTTCAGAAACGCTCTTGGTGGGATTTGAATATCATAGACGCAACGTCCTAAAGTTGTGCACGGTGGATTTTCGGGGGAAAAACCCTTCAACTCTAGTTAGTTTACTCGACTATTACGGGGCAGCCCTAGTAAAAAATACCATCAATACTGCACTGCACATCACAGACTGATTTCTATATTTTCTATCTCCATTTAACCAACAGCTGTTTAGCTTCTACTGGCACACATTTCTTTTCTCACCAAGAAATCTTACAGAATTCAATTCTTAATTTTTACAGATTATCATGCAAACCAACAAGTTAAACCATGCCTAGAGACTGTTAAGCGCTCGGTACTTCTGCATCTGCCGTCTGTTTTCCTTGAACGACTTAGGGGGGAAAAAAATTGCTGACAGCTTTACTTTGAAATTCCTCCAGAATAATTTGAGACCCTGCTGCTAATCCTCTTGTGATCGACCTTTGGATCCTGACCCAGTCTTTACAAATCATTTGCTGTAAACTAATTTGCTGTGTTAAAGACATTTCCAGCTCATGCCTCTTTCCCACAAGCTGTCATAGTCTCAGTCTCCCCTTGTCATTTGGTAAATATGTTCTTTATATAGACGAAACTCAAAGGCGCACATGCATCTCTGTGCTGAAAGGTTTTATACATTTAAAAGTATCAACAGTTGGGCAACAGCAAGGTTAAGCTCGTCTTATTTGTGTGTCCGGATACCTTTTTTTGAGTTGTTCACTTGGTTGCCAACGGACAGCTTCTCTTTGCACACACGTACTGCAGACTGAAAGTGATGTTGTAGGAAGTGATTGTACTGCTTGTTTCCTGTCCATGTTTTTAGCAGTTATGTAGCTGTTGTAGAGCTGCAAAGGAAATATAGTCAATAGCAGATGGACTACATGTAATGCTATGAGACTCCAGGGTTTCATTAGTGACGGGCTGTAGACATGAGGAAATATTTAGTAGCATTTATGAAATAGTAAGTATAAACATGTTTTATGCATGAAACATATTTTGCATACTTGCTTTTTCAAGCAACAGAAAATGTATTAAGTGAAATTTGTTTCGGTATGTGTGTATGTGTTTGCATGCTAAGTGACGGGAAGGGCTGCACTTTTATCAGTAGAGGGTTTTCTGGCTACTGTAATAAAATGTCCGTACATTGTTAAGAGTGCTGTTTAAAGGAAGTGGTCTGAATAAGCTCAATCACTGTGCAGATTTTCTACCTACTTTACTGTATGCTTGGATTTAGTCTGTATTTACTGCATTTAACTCTATTAAGGTTCATGTCAAATGTCTATGGCTCTGCAAAAAGTTTGTTTACATTATTATTTGTAGAGGTTTGCATAGAATCACTGAACATACAGTATGCTGCTTTCTCTAAAAACAATAGAAGCCAAAGCTGTTTTTTGTTGGTTCACTGTCACTGTAGGTTTCAGTTGTCAGAGACAGAAGAAAGACTTTTGTTCATGTTTACAGCCAGCCAGGCTACATCAGGGTAATGATGACATGAAAAATCCCCACTTCAACTCACTGCCCTAGTACTTTTTGCTTTTTTCTCTTTATCAGCTTCTCATCATACTAGCATCTGCTTGTAGCATTCAGGAAGCGGTTAACCTTGATGGAGGATGGTAGAGAGGTCTATAACGGCTCACAAAGCAAATGGAAAATTGAGACAGCAACCCATGCTCAGCCATTTAGATAGAAATGGAGAAATTGTCCTCCATTCTAATAGAGTTACATTGGTCCATAACCCTTAAAGCATTATCTTGATGGAGTCCGAATGGAAGAAAATTGAGTCATTATGAGAATAACATGTTGCTTTCATTTTTATTTCACCTTGATTTGAAATTAAAGTATGATTTTATTTACATATTTTGGCGTCAAAGAGACAAAACAGGCTAAAGACAGAGACAATCGAACCATATGACAGGAATTCAGCACTGCATGGAAGTTTGAACTTGGGTCTCTCTAACTAGGCCACCAAACTGCATCTCTGTGCATCCGACCAATTCTCAGTTTTGAATGTCAATGTTTCCCCAGTGCATCTTTCAGAAGATTTACTAGAAAGTCTTGCGCTACATCAAACTACTTCTACATTTTATTTACTGTTGTAGTTATTAATGTCAAAGTTTGTGGCTGATATTTTCATAAACACCGCTCAGCCTCTCTGTCTCTGTCTCCCCACTCAGGACGTTCACTGCTGCTAAAAGGATGATGGTGACGGGAGCAGGCCACGGCCGAAGGTGCAGCCCTCGCTAGAATCATTCTTCCTCCCTTCAACTTCACCCCTCCACCATCATCCACTTCTGCCCCCCGGCGCCATGGCTAACCACCTGGAGCTGATCCAGGAGCTGCAGCAGCTGGACAAAGTGCCCAGCCTTGAGAGGCTGCGGGCGGCCCAGAAGCGGCGTACCCAGCAGCTGAAGAGATGGGCTGTGTACGAGAAGGAGATGCAAAACAAGAAGCGAAAGGCTGACAAGAAGGGACGCAACGCCAACAACCTCCAGCAAGAGTCCAAGAGGCATGTCTCGTTTGCCGCCAGCGTGGCACTTCTGGAGGCATCAGCCCGGAACGATCCAGATGAAGGTAGGCAATAAAGAATATTTACGATGTGTGCAAATTAAAAAAGTACAAGTGTAGATGTATGGGGAGTGAAAATGATGACACAGACTACACAAGTGCTCTTAACACAAAAAATATAACCACTGGAGTTTTATTCTCGTAACAAGGCAACGCACTAAAAATATGTGCTAGGGTTTCTCTCATAAGCTCAGAGTCAAACCCAGCACAAAGCTCAGTGACGCCACATTTGAATAATTACTCTAATTTCAGCCTCACCTCACTACTTCAGCTGGATATCAAAATGCCAAGGTCAGGAAAACCATTAGCTGGACCTGCCCACTTAAACTGCCAGTGGAACTCACCCTGTTCGAGCTGAATTTGTTCTGCTAGGAGACTGTTTTATCATTGGGAAATAATGAAGTTGTCACACTGAGATGAAACTCTGCCAGTCTTTTAATTAAAATTTCTACGGATGGTGCCCCCCTATTTGGAGATAATAATTGTTTTCCTTCAGTACAAACAGTCCCATGATGCTGTGGCAGTGCTAACAGTGTGTCAGTGATGCAGGAATGATAACAGGCTGCTTATCATGTAGAGATGACATCTAATTTAACTTCACTTTAACTTGAAATTTTTTATCATAAAACACAGCCTGTGGATGTGCTACTGTACATTCTTTGCTTTGCAAGCTGTTTTTACAGATATTGAAACAGCCACAAGGCTACAATATTTCCACAATAGTTGTCAGAGCAGAAGCAGCTCTGCACTGCGTATACACACATACACACGCACACATATGCGCATGCAGATGGACTGTGAACTGGCATGTTGAAACTCCAGCTGGAGTGAGAATCAGGAGAAGTCTTGGGGTTTGTGTTATCTGGATGGGCTGTTGGATTCTACCATCATGTGTAACATAAATAGAGATCTAAGGAAACTAGCTGACAATAATGGAAATCATCTTATTGGGTAAAAAGAAAAGTCCCTTTTCATATCATACTATAAAGAAATGTCTAAGTTCTGTTGCTGTTTATGCTGATTCTGCTGCCTCATTACACACAGATAGAGGTGTTGTCGTGTGAAAGATTTTGAAAAATAGCTTGAACAGCATTAAAAGGTTTTTGTCGTGCACTGCTGTGAGGTGTGTAATTCCCAGAAAATCTGCTGAGCCACTTAGACTTTAAAGCAGGATGTTGTGGCTGTTCGTGCTTCATGTAATTCTTTAGATTGGTTTGAGGTGGCCAGGAACATACAGCATCTACTCATTTACTGTCAGTTCCAGGAAATGTATTTCACAAGAATGAGAGCATACAGTATTGTTAAATACTGTATGCTCTCATTCAAGGTTGGTTTGAAGTAGAAACATTCATCAACAGCAGCTTCCATTATTATTATCCATTATTACTATCCATTATTATCGAAACATTCCATGTAGTTAAGATTTTAAAATGTTATTTAATTTAGTTTCATGGCAAAGGGCAATGTTTTGTGTACTGTTCATCTAGTTTTGAAAGGGGAGACAAAACACAGGAAACAATAGGCTGGACTGAGTCACTAGTTTTGTTTTTTTACATAAAAGATATTTGACCTCTCCAGCAAAACAACCAATCCCTATACAACTTTTGAAGGCCACCTGGTTTGCTTGTAAAATGGAAATCAATTTTATGATTTAAGCGGGTACCTCAACTGGTGATTGTCCAGCCAGTAGCCTTGATTAAACAAAGAACATATTTTAGTGTGAGTGCAGGATTTTTGCATGGTGATACAGAAGGCTGAATAAGTAGAAATAACACCAAACTGTTTTTGTAGATATGTTATTTTATAATTTTTCACTAAAGCTTTGTAGTTATTAAATATACAGCGTTTTAAATTTTTTAGCAATGGCTACCTACCACTTTGATGTATCTCAACAAATACTGGATGGACTTCCATGAAATGTTGTACAGACATTCATGATCCCCAGAGGATGCATGCTAATGACTTTGGTGATCCTCTGACTTTTCATCTAGTTCATACTTGTAGTTTTTATTGAAATATCTCGACTGCTTTTGGATGGATTGTCATCCCTCAGGATGAAATGTAGTAACTCTGCTAATCCCGAGTTCTGGTCTAGCGCCATCATTAGTTTAAATTGTGTCCAGCGCTTTGGTTTATAACCTTATACCCGCAAAACTAAACTAAACTTTTCCATTAATCTCAGCTGTTTAGTCCTAATTAGCAAATGTTAGAATTCTAACATGCTAACCGTTGCTAACGTGCTGATATTAACACCTAATTTCTGCCCATTATCACTCACTCAATTTTAAAGATCATCAGTGATTTGGTAGTTTCAACCTCCATGTTTGTGAAGCCCAGTTATGTAAATAATAAACATATATTTACTTGTTAATTTTCAGCATGACTGTTTTTTGACACATTTTACAGTTGTCGTACATCTGAATAAATACACCAGTCAGGGTCTCTCAGTGTGGAGCACTGATAGCAGATGTTTTTGCTTTGTTTTGAGAATTACTGATATGTGGAAGCTTTGTTAGTTCTCCTTACTGCTGATGGTGCTTGGGCATAGAAACATTTGCTATCCGTGCTGTTTAATGAGGGTGACCATTAAAGAGGCAGGGAGATAAAAAGAAAAGGGAGACAGGGTGTAGTGTTGCCCACACAGCTCCAGTGGCAGCTGGCTAGCTCAGGAGCCTGATAATCTCCTCTCTCATTCCCTCTGGTCCCCAAATGCTCGATCAAGCATCCTGACTCCACACGCTATGCTGCTCAAGGCACACTAATCACAGTCTCTGGGCTTTCTTTGCAAAAATATTATGTGACAGTGTCATGCATTCTCTTGTACAGTCATATCATAAAAGGTTGTGTAAAAATAGTAAGAAAATTGAATGTAGATCATGATGGAAATGAGTTTGAGCATCTTTTACGTTAAGCTTAATTTTCATAAATAAAAACTCAAATGTAGAGCCCTCATCTGCAAAAACAGTGACGAGCAGAGCCAGTACGGGCAGTTGAAAGTTACAGACGTGTTGAGAAATAAATGGAGCCTTCATCTCGTCTTTTCTTGAGGAGAAAGGAAGGGAGAAATAAAAACAAACAACAGAGAGAGATTGACTTTGACCCCGGGCTGACTCTGCCAGCCTCGAGGCCATAATAAGATGAGAGGTTGGATTGGCTGGACTCACGCCTGTTTAATCCCTGATTGGTTGGATCGAGTGAGATGTTTCCTGTGTCTTCTCTGTGGTTGCAGCCACTGGGTTGGCCGGAGGGTATGTGTGTGAGCGCACGCTAATGATTGTATATGCGTGTTGATGGGTATGTTTTATGGATGTATTTGTTTTTGTTTTTGTGTACTTTGTTGCCTCACTGTAGCTTGAACAGTAGATAGTGTTATTTAAACTATAGGATCTGTGAACAGTTCAGGTGTGTATGTTTATGTGCTTGTGTTTCAGTGTGTACATTTGTGTGTGTTTGTGTATGTGTGTTCTCTGTCCTTTTTGAGCCACAATGTCCCTGTCATTATAACTTCCTCACTGGACGCTGCGGGAGCAGTCACCAGGCCGTGAGGAGATTCAGATATAGTAAAACCACAGTGGACACAGTGTGTACTCGAGCTGAAGTTTGTTTGTGTGTGCGCAAATGTGTTGTATTTGTGAAATGGAGGAATAAATATAAAGGTGTTTTTGTATTTTTTTTTATTGATTGTATGAACTTAAATAAACTTTTTTTAGTGAGTGTTTCCAGAAAAATTTGTCTCTGTGTGCTTGTCTGCTAGCCACAGAAACACTGAAGAGGGAAGAGTAAGTAGGAGAGGATTGGATGGAAAGGGATGCATCCTGAGTCTGAGCCCATTTCTTCGCCCTCCGGCTCCCACCATCCTGAACCCTCTGCCCCCTCACTGTGATGAGGCTTGATGGCTGTGAAATTACTGCGAAGCACCTCAGTGTCTCTCTGTGCAACTCTCTGGCTATTGAGACTGATAGGTTTTCTCCTCTCCAGAGAACTGCTATCCTGCAGAGGAACAGCCATTGGGGTCAGAAAGGACAGTCCACTCATGCTGACCTGAAATTTTTTCTTAACCCCAGTGTGTTGTCTGATGAAGTTGTCTAACAACTCGGATATGATTGAAGGAGTCAAGAATGTGTGTGGAAAAGGGGAGAAATTTGAACAACTGAAGTGTGCTAAAAAATGAACGTTTAAGTTTACATTCATGGCAATCAGCAAATGTTCTTATTCAGACTGATTTGCAAGAGCTGCTCAGTTTTTATAATAAAGGCAACACCATCAGGTAAAGTCAAGGTAAACATTTGGTGGCAATCATCTCATCCCACTGATTAGCTGACTGTAAGTGGGTTAAATAGCGTGAATTAAAAGGTTGCTCCGTAATCCCACCTGTTTTTCAAAGTGTTCTCGGGTAAGATACTAAACCCAAAGCAAGACAGCTCTACTGCCATTGCTGTGTGAATGTGTGTTAAGGGTTAGGATATGCTAGAAAAGAACTAGTACCAAGTGTAAACCTATCGTGACATCAACCATTGGTTTGTGGAGTACCGTTTTAACGCCTGAACCTCGGCATTATGGCTGTTGCCATGTCGGTTTTTCTGAGCCAGCTGCAACAATGGCAGCTCTCCTGGTCACACACATTCTTGCATTACAGATAAAGAGTATAGTAAAATATGTTTCTGAAAAGTTATTAAGCGAGAAATAGGCAATGCATTAATAGAATCTTGATTCATATTTGATCAGCACTGCCTAGTCTGACAGTTTGATCAGAGTTTCGTGCTTTACGGTGGATGGACTTACTGAGAGTGAAGCATACTTTATCATCTATTTTACTCTAAATGGGACCATAATTTACAAGATAAGATAAGAAAAGATAGACTTTATTGATCCCACACTGGGAAAATTCTCTTGCTACAGCAACTTCAGATACAACACAACAGATAAGAACAATATACACTGATCAGCTATAACATTATAACCACTGACAGGTGAAGTGAATAACAAAGATTATCTGGTTATCATGG